AGAGCAGGAGCTTGGAGATCCCCTGCAGGAGACACAGCAGTGAAGGGCTGCCATAGGGCAGAGCTCACAGTGGTTGGGCTTCCAAGTGCCCTGGGTCTGGGAGGGAAGGACTCACGAGTACCTGGGGAGCTGCAGATGTCCTGGGAGCTCATGCTGCCACCTGTACCAAGGGGCAGAGAGGGATTTGCTGAGAGGAGCAGTGTCCAGGCTCATCCTGATTTCCCTGCTCCCATATCCCCCCTGACCAAACCCTCACTGCTAAGCAGGCATCATTACATCTGCTTGTTCTCATGCTGTATCTCTTCAATATGCCCTCAAACAATGTGAATTCCAATCCCATTTTGGGTGGATGTCTTGTTCCAGGTAAATCCCATATCTCCTTAAAAAATTCAGCAGTCCTAGAGTCTCAGAACAACACGCCAGAAAATTTATGGTGCTGGAGAAGCCTGCCCCTTCCGCAAATGTGTATTATACATGGAGGAAGCCATCCCCATCCTGCTTTCCCCAGAGCAACGATGTCCGAAACTGCTGCACCACAGCCCCACACACGCTGTCCCCATCCTCTCCTCTGCCCACCACTGTCCTGTCCTACCCCCAGGAGCAGCCCTCCAACACTCAGCCCCCACACCAGCAATGCCCCAACTCACAGAGCACCAACAGCAGGATCGCACAGCCAGAAGGAGACAGCCTTGCCCATGGCGCCTGCCCCAGCATCTTTTGGGGCACTGCTTTTGCGGAGCAGCGTCTGCTTCAAGTTTCTGCTTTGCTCTGAGCCGGGGACGGTGGGGCAGAGGCTTGCGGTTCAGCTCGGGGCTGTGCTGTTAGCTTTCTGTGGCCACCTGAGCCTGGCCCACAGCCAGAGGCTCTCATCAGTGGGGGCCTTGCCTAAGAACCTGCTACATCCGCTGCTTTTGTTGAGCCCCCACTGTTTTTCCTGTCCTCTCACACACTGCAGCACACGCTAGTTTTACTTGTATCTCAGCGGCAACATTGTCCCTGTAAAGAGCTCCTGATCCTTGTCCCCACTAGGATTTGCCCTCGTCTGACCACATCACTCTGATTCTCTTCAATGTCTAGACAAATGATGGCATCAGGGGAATCCTGCACCAAGGCCAAAGTGACGCCAGAGATGTGGGGCAGCTGCCAAGGCTGTGGGCAGATTTCTCCTTCATCCTGTTGGTGAATCAGCTTATGAAGAACTCTCAGGGAGTCTCAGCTGGGGCCTACTGCTGCCAGCACAGCACTGTGGGAGCCATCTGCACCCACACTTTGACCCTCATGCGACCACACAACAACCAGGAAAGGCAGAGGCTTCGTCCTGAAGGCACCTGAGCTCCCCCACGTTGCTCTCTCAATTCCCTTCCTCGAAGGAAGGCACTGAGCCAAGAGAAGGAGAGCAGTGGCAGCACATCCCTTGGGCATGCTGCCACAGCTGCCTTGAACCCAACAGCAGCAGGAGTCTGACAAATGTGTGGGGGTCATGCTCTGAGCATGACAGAGCAGCATGGAGCCCAGGAGGACATCAGAGCTCCATGGGGACAGGGACGTCTCCAGGCTGCCTGGCCTCACGGGCACCGCGGCTGCATCTCTCCAGGAGGAGGGTGATGATGGGGGCAGACAGCAGCAGGAGCAGGCTGAGGGCAGAGCGCAGGATCCAGACCTCCAGGGGCATGGCTGACCCTGGGAGAGACGAGGAACACAGTGTGGCCAAGGCAAGCCTTGGAGGACGGCTGTGCTGGGAAGGGCTGATGAGCAATGTCTCACCTCTGGAAGGGAGCTGGGCCTTGTGTGAGGGGCTGCTGCTTGTGGGAGACATGAACATGCTGTGAGTTTATGGAGCTCTTTGCTGGGACAATACCAAATGCTGAGGAGATGCTGAGCTCATGTCTTGCTTCCTTGAGCACAGGGTGATCATTAACAACTGAGCTCATGTAAATCAACAGACATAGGGTAGTAAAAGTTTGACGGAGAGCTTGCAGCAGTAGTGGCACAGGCCAGGGCCTACTGATATCCCCAACCCTTGATTTTTTTACATGGGCACTGCAGAGCCCCATGTCTCAGCAGAGCTGCTACTGCAGGTACAGGGCAAAACCTGAGAACAGTTTTACGTCCAGGGTCCAAGGAGCACTGAAAGGAGAGCACCCGAGCTGACTGGGGACTGGCCATGAGGACACGGAGCATCCCCTTCATTCCCAGGGAAGTCTGCAGTCTATCAGAGCCTTGAGGAGAGATATCACCTCATCAGCTGACAATATTGCAGACAGCTGTGGAGGAAGCTGCATCCTCTAGTCTGAGGGGAATGAAGAAAGCTTTCAAGGCCTTGGGACGGTTGGTGAAAGAGTCTGGAGCACAAGTCCCTTTCTCTTCCCTCCATCCATTCTGGGGTAGTGACATTGTATAGAATAGAAGGATCTGGTCCATAAATGCTTGGCTCCGTGACTGGTGCTACAGGCCCAACTTTGGGTTGTTTGGTAATGGCTGGTGTTATAAGACAGCAGGCCTGAGAGGAATACTTGGGAAAGGTTTATCTCACAGGGTCCAGAGGGTTTTGTGACAGCAATTAGCAGGCCTCATTTGGAGAGCTTCAAGCTACATGTATATCTGCAGGATAATGGGGTTGTAGCAGGGCTTGTACTGGTGGGACAGTGCCCCCGCAGACATGAAGACCAGGAGGCCTCCCACCCCTCATGGGGTGAAATCAGCATGCTCAGCTCCTTCCCTGAAGTGCCTGGACACAAATGCATTCAGCATGTTGAATAAGGAGGAGAAGTTGGAAAACTCTGTTTGGTCAGAAGACTGAGATCTGGTGGCAGTTACAGAGACATGGTGGGACAGCTCACATGGCTGGAATGTGGTCATGGATGGCTATGTCCTGCTCAGGAAGGCCAGCAAGGTGAGGTGGCAGAACTGCTCTTCTCATGAGAGAGAAACTCCATTGTATTGAGTACTGTCCAGGGGCAGATGAGGAGCGAGTTGAGAGTCTGTGGGTGAGAATTAAGGGGCAGGCTGGCATGGGGGATGCTGTTGTGCGTGTCTGTTACAGACCACTAGACCAGGATGAGGAAACTGACGAGGCCTTCTACAGGCATCTGAGAACAGCCTCTTGATCACAGGCCCAGGTTATCATGGAGGATTTCAACTACCCTGATATTTGCTGACAGGCCTACTCAGCCAGTCACCCACAGTCCAGGAAGTTCCTCCAGTACTGGTTCCTCCAGTGCATTGATGATAACTTCCTGATGGAAATGGTGAACGTGCCAACTAGGAGTGGAGTGCTGCTAGATCTTGTCGTCACCAACAACAGGGGTTGGTTGATTCTGAATCACAGAATCACAAATTTAAACACCAAGTTAAGTGCATGTGTCAATCTGCTCAAGGGTAGGAAGGCTCTGCAGGAGGATCTGGATAGGCTGGACCAACGGGCTGAGGTCAACTGCATGAAGTTCAATAAGGCCAAGTGCTGGGTCCTGCACCTGGGGAAATAACCCCAAGCAGAGCTACGGGCTGGGAAATGAGTGGTTGGAGAGCTGCCAGGCAAAGAAGGACCTGGGAGTGATGGTTGATAGTCGGCTGAATATGAGCCAGCAGTGTGCTCAGGTGGCCAAGAAGGATAAGAGCATCCTGGCTTGCATAAGAAGCAGTGTGGCCAGCAGGGGTAGGGAGGTGATCGTCCCCCTGTACTCGGCTCTGGTGAGGCCGCACCTCAAGTACTGTGTTCAGTTTTAGGCCCCTTCCTACAAGAAGGACATCGAGGTGCTCGAGTGAGTTCAGAGGAGGGCAACAAAGCTGGAGAAGGGTCTGGAGAACAAGTCCTACGAGGAGCGGCTGATGGAGCTGGGCTTGTTCAGCCTGGAGAAAAGGAGGCTCGGGGGCGACCTTATCACTCTCTACAGATACCTTAAAGGAGGCTGTAGTGAGGTGGGGGTTGGTCTGTTCTCCCACGTGCCTGGTGACAGGACGAGGGGGAATGGGCTTAAGTTGTGCCAGGAGAGTTTTAGGTTGGATCTTAGGAAGAACTTCTTTACCGAAAGGGTTGTTAGACACTGGAACAGGCTGCCCAGGGAAGTGGTGGAGTCACCATCCCTAGAGGTCTTTAAAAGATGCTTAGATGTAGAGCTTAGGGATATGGTTTAGTGGGGACTGTTAATGTAAGGTCAGAGGTTGGACTCGATGATCTTGAGGTCTCTTCTAACCTAGAAATTCTATAAATCTGTGATTCTGTGAAGTGGGAAGTGATAAAGTAGATGTCCAAAAGGTTGTGCTGGGAGCCCTTGGGCCCATGCATACAGGCCCAGCTGTGCCTCTGGTGCTGCACTGTAGGCGGGGAACAAGGCCTAGCCGGGAGCCTTTGCAAGGAAAGACCAGGAGAAAGCTGAGGTCATCCTCTGGACTTCTGGAGCGGGGCTGTTGAGGATTAGAAGCCCATGATCCTCCAAATGAAAACAGACGAGTGATGGGCAGTCATGCCCAAGAGAGTTGAAGACCAGTGGGTGCAGATGGCTCCCACAGTGCTGTGCTGGCAGCACTATGGCCCCAGCTGAGACTCCCTGAGAGTTCTTCATAGGATGATTCACCAACATTCATCAATGGAATGAAGGAGAGATCTTCCCACAGCCTTGGAAACTGCCCCAGAGCTCTGAAGTCACTTTGACCTTGGTGCAGGATGACCCTGGCACAACTATTGGTATGGAGATTGAAGAAAAGCGGAGTGACCTGGTCAGAAGAAGGCAAAGAACATGGGGACAAAACTCGATGATCTGAAGGTCTCTTCCAACCTAGACGATTCTGTGATTCTGTGATTTCATTACATTTCTCCCCACCCAATTCTCCATCCTGTCTAGGTCTCTGGATGGCACCATAGCCATGCACAGAGTACACAGCATGTCAGCCACTCCACCCAGTTTAGTGTCATCAGCAAACTTGCTGACAGTGCACTCCATTCCCTCATCCAAGTCACTGAAGAATATATTGAATAGTACTGGTCCCAGTACCGACCCTGAGGGACTCCACCAGATACAGGCCTCCAACTCGCATCCACCCCATTGACCACAACCCTCTGGCTTCTTCCCTTCAGAAAGATCACAGTCCACCTCACTACCTGATCGTCCTGACCACACTTCTTCAGTTTAGCTGCAAGGATGCTGTGGGAGATGGTGTCAAAGGCTTTACTGAAATCAAGATAGACCACATCCACTGCTTTAATATCATCTATCCTCCCACCTATATCCTCATAAAAGGCTCTCAGTTCGGTCAAGCATTACTTCCCCTTGGTGAAACCATGTTGACTGCCCCTAATGACACTTTTATCCTTGATATGCCTGGAGACAATGCCAACGCTAAGTTGTTCCATCAGCTTTGCAGGGATGGAGGTGAGGCTGACTGGTCTATAGTTACCTGGGTCATCCTTCTTTCCCCTTTGGAAGACTGGAGTAAAATTTGCTTTCCTTCAGTCCTCAGGCAACTTTCCTGATGCCCATTACTTACCACGGATAATGGATAATGGCCTAGCAATGACTTCCTCCAACTCCCTCAGCTCCTGGCATGAGCATCTTGAGTATCCCATCGTGACCCGTGGATTTATGGACATCCAGAGATTTTTATTTTTCTTCTAAACAAAACGACATCTCCAGCGCACATGCCAATTCTCAGACACATGCAAGCACCTCCCTGCAGTGATACCGGTCCCTATAGGTCCCTATAGGTCCAAATGTCCATCTGTGTGGGTGCATGGAAGAGCAGCCCTGTGACTTTATCATGCAGTTTAGGAATACATAATTTCCAGTGAGCACAGGGAGATGGTTTCACATGAAAAAAAAGCATTGATACACTCATATTATTACTTGGTACACCTGACATATTTTAGAGGTATTAATTCATTGCAAAAAGAAATATGAGTCCTTCATCCTCTTGGCTAGACAAACACAGCCGTTCCCTGTGACAGCAAATTCCAGAGATGCCCAAAGTGCAACCCTCAACCCCATGATATGACTGCACAAGAACTCTGCAGGAGAGCAAAGGCGGCTGTGGACAAGGCTCCTGTGCCCTTGCCCTGTGGCAGCGCTATCGGGTCTGGGTGCGGCTCACTGTGGCATACGTCGTGGTGTCGCTCATGTGCTGCATGGGACGAGGCTTTAGGGGGAAAAGAAACCCTGTTACTTCAGCTGCTGACTGTGAGCCCTGCACAATGAGCAGGCACCAGGCTGCAGGAGTGCAGAAAGGAGCTGTGCACAGCTGTGCCACGACTCACCCTGTCCCGTCGAACGTGGGCAATGGTGGAGTCTGTGGGGAAAAAACACACCATGAGCCCTTGGTGATTGGAGGGGGGTGAACCCCCGTGAGCTTTGGGCATCAGCTGCCTGAGGTCAGCTCTCAACGCCTGACCACATTTCCCCTCCCATCACCCTGGTCTGCGATGTGCATTAAGAAGCAGTGGAGCAGAGATGCTGAGGTTTTGGTGTATTTCCAGCTTTCTGTGGCGTCGCCTCTCTTTGCACAGCCAGCACACCTTGCAAAATGTGCTGTGCAGGCGTGGGTAAAAAAGGTCAAGCTGCAACTCGAGCTACGTTCACGTCAGGTAGGTATATATCTGTAGCCTGTCACCAACCCACAACATCCTCCCTTGGCAGCTGCCTGTGGTTTCAGAACAAGATCTAAAATATTTTCCCCAGCAGGGCAAGGAAACAGAGCCACATCTTTCGTTGCTGTGATGTGCTTTGTGTAGTTCTTGAAGCAGAAATGACACTGAAGAGAAACTGAAGAAAGGACAAAAGCAGAGGCTGAAGCAGGGAAAATGCAGCCTGAGGGTGGAGCTGGTGTGGAAGGACCCCCCAGGCAAATGGGCTTTGTCCCTGGGAGCACTGGGATGCTGCCATGTCCCTTGTGCAGCCAGCAGCCGCGCTCTGCATGCGAGGAAGAAGCAGGACATGAGGTGCTGGAGAGAAACCTGGCCTTGATGAACAGGCAGGGATTTTGTATATCCCAGTGGGAAATGAAGTGGTGGGATTCCACATGAGATGGGCGCATGGCTTCCGCCAAGGGAGGTGGTAGTACTCACATGTGACTTCGCCGTTGTCTGTGGTTTCCATCTGTGGTCCGTCAACGTGCTGCTGCCTGGAGAGGAATGGAATGGTTGTTGGGTGTGTGTTTGTGGTCAGGTTGTCACATGAGAAACGCACTTGGGTCGGGCTTCCCAATATCATGTGGTGAACTGGAATGCAGCAAATAGCAAGCCCCATCCTCCCTGCCTCAAGCACAGGGAATGCAGCCACACACACATGGAGAACACGGCCTCTATCCAAGAAGCACTGCAGGGCCCCGCCATGCACCCAACTCCCTCCCCAATACCCCAAAGGAAGGGAGCCCTTGGTGCTCACCTTGGGCATCTCCCTCTGCAGGCACCTGCAAGAAGAACAGGGGCTGAGGTGCACAGGCCAAGGTGCTGCCCAACCCTGGCTCTCATCTCAGGACTGGGGGACGAAGGCTGAAGCTCCCCAGCTCCCTCAGCAGCCTCCCCAGATGGGCTGCCCACAGCCATCACCCCCAGGCACCGTCTCCCCCAGCTGCACACCCCTGGGTTCCCCCCAACTCCTCTGCCACTGCACCAGCCCCATAGCAGGACCTCCATGGCCTCAGCCTTCCCCCCACATTCCCCCACTCCCTCACCTTTCCTGATGGCAAACCAGCTGCCTGCAGCCAGGAGGACGAGGCTGACGGCCGCCACTGCCAGCACCATGCCTGTGGGGAGGGCGTGCGGGATCCAGTTATGTGGAGCTGTGGGACAGAGGGTGTGAGGGCAATGGGGTGTGATGGGGAGAGGCAGGGAGCAGGACGTGCCCGTGCAGCTGGCACAGCTCCTGCCTGGTGAAGCTCCTGCTTGTCCCCATGCCCTGGGGAAGGCTGCAGAGCACGTCCACTCCCCATGCTCGGGTTTCTGGGGGTGTAGGAGGGAATCACTCACCTGGTGATGATGGACTTGCTGGGGAGCTCACCACATTGCCTGGCAGGACAAAAGGACAGGCTTAATGTCTACAGTGCACACAAATCCTTCCCAGAATGAGCGTCAGCCCCATGGCCACATCCCCCCATCGACAGCCAGCACCATCCCCAAGGAAGACATAAAAGTGCCCGCAGCTGTTGCGCCAACATGGGCTCCCATGGATGTGCTGTCTAAATTCCCTCGTGAGTGGTTAAGTATAGCTTAGCCAAGGTGTGCCTGTTGATTAAATATGGCACCATCACTCTCATCTATCTGTGATTCTGGGGGGCTAGAGGATCACACAATCACAAAATGACCATTGATGAAAGGGACCTCTGAAAGTCATGGAGTCCAGCCTTCTGCTGAGTAGGATCACCTAGAGCACCTTGCACAGAATGGCATCCAGGTGGATTTGGAAAATCTCCAGAGGAGACTCCACAACCTCTCTGGGCAGCCTGTTCCAGTGCTCTGTCACCCTCCCAGTAAAGAAATGCCCCTCATATTCAGATGGAACTTTCTGCGCTCCCATTTGGGCCCGTTGCCTCTCACCCTTTCCCTGGGCACAACCGAAAAGAGACCAGCTCTCAACACCCTTCCCTCAGATATTTATAGGTATGGATGAGGTCTCCCTTCAGTCTCCTTTTTCCAGGCTAAACAGGCTCAGTTCTCTTGGCTCCAGACCTCTGATCATCTTTGCAGCCTTCCTCTGGACTCTCTCCAGTAGTTCTATGCCCCTCCTGAACAGGGAATCCCAGAACTGGACACAAAATGTTTTGTGTTCCATGCAGGGAAATGATTTCTTCCCAGGAGCTCTCGCCCAGAGAACAAATTCCCTCTCCCTTGCCATCACCACCCCACACACACCTCTCTTCAGTCACCCATCCCCACGCTCAACCTCACCTGGGGAGCTGCCGATGTCCTGGGTGGTCACGCCAGCACCTGCACCTTGGGTCACAGAGGGTTTTGTTTAGAGGGAGTGAGAGCTGGGGCACCCACACGCTTGTGCCCACGTCCCTGCTGCTGGGTCCTTGCCATGTCCTCAATGCTGTGTCCTTGCAGAGCTCATGACAGTCATCCCACTTGCCCTGCCATAGGCTCATCAATGCACAGGGCAGACCTTGGAGCATCCCTGGCTCAACCCAGCATTCATCCACATCCCCAGCCCTTGTTCCCTGTGCCTGGGCCCTGCACAGCCCCATGTCTGCAGCAGAGGTGGTGCTGCAGGGACACGGGGATCCCTTGAGAGCAGTTTTCTCTCATGGCTGCCTCTGAGGACAGGGAACACAACCATGAGGGAACCACCCCAGAGCCTGCTGCAGCACAGAGCTCTACTCTCAGCACAACCATGTGGTGGCAAGTGCTTCTGTCCCTTCTCACCACGCCAGCCCGGGGCCATGACTCACCAGGGACATCCAGGATTTGGCAAGCACTGAGGGCAGAACTCATATGTTTCTTCTCATTCAGCGCCTGGTACCCACATGTATATTTTCCTGCACTTCCTGATGTGATGTTCAGGACCACGGAATAGCTCAGCTGCCCTTGCTGGGCTTTCTGGCTGTACTCCTCCGTCCCATCCTTGCAGAAGATGATTCGTCTTGCATGTGACACCACAGGGAGAATACACTGGAGCACAACTCTGGTACCTGGCTGAGCAGAAGTTGAGTTCATTTGGAGAGCAGGAGCTTGGAGATCCCCTGCAGGAGACACAGCAGTGAAGGGCTGCCATAGGGCAGAGCTCACAGTGGTTGGGCTTCCAAGTGCCCTGGGTCTGGGAGGGAAGGACTCACGAGTACCTGGGGAGCTGCAGATGTCCTGGGAGCTCATGCTGCCACCTGTACCAAGGGGCAGAGAGGGATTTGCTGAGAGGAGCAGTGTCCAGGCTCATCCTGATTTCCCTGCTCCCATATCCCCCCTGACCAAACCCTCACTGCTAAGCAGGCATCATTACATGTGCTTGTTCTCATGCTGTATCTCTTCAATATGCCCTCAAACAATGTGAATTCCAATCCCATTTTGGGTGGATGTCTTGTTCCAGGTAAATCCCATATCTCCTTAAAAAATTCAGCAGTCCTAGAGTCTCAGAACAACACGCCAGAAAATTTATGGTGCTGGAGAAGCCTGCCCCTTCCGCAAATGTGTATTATACATGGAGGAAGCCATCCCCACCCTGCTTTCCCCAGAGCAACGATGTCCGAAACTGCTGCACCACAGCCCCACACACGCTGTCCCCATCCTCTCCTCTGCCCACCACTGTCCTGTCCTACCCCCAGGAGCAGCCCTCCAACACTCAGCCCCCACACCCAGCAATGCCCCAACTCACAGAGCACCAACAGCAGGATCGCACAGCCAGAAGGAGACAGCCTTGCCCATGGCGCCTGCCCCAGCATCTTTTGGGGCACTGCTTTTGCGGAGCAGCGTCTGCTTCAAGTTTCTGCTTTGCTCTGAGCCGGGGACGGTGGGGCAGAGGCTTGCGGTTCAGCTCGGGGCTGTGCTGTTAGTTTTCTGTGGCCACCTGAGCCTGGCCCACAGCCAGAGGCTCTCATCAGTGGGGGCCTTGCCTAAGAACCTGCTACATCCGCTGCTTTTGTTGAGCCCCCACTGTTTTTCCTGTCCTCTCACACACTGCAGCACACGCTAGTTTTACTTGTATCTCAGCGGCAACATTGTCCCTGTAAAGAGCTCCTGATCCTTGTCCCCACTAGGATTTGCCCTCGTCTGACCACATCACTCTGATTCTCTTCAATGTCTAGACAAATGATGGCATCAGGGGAATCCTGCACCAAGGCCAAAGTGACGCCAGAGATGTGGGGCAGCTGCCAAGGCTGTGGGCAGATTTCTCCTTCATCCTGTTGGTGAATCAGCTTATGAAGAACTCTCAGGGAGTCTCAGCTGGGGCCGTACTGCTGCCAGCACAGCACTGTGGGAGCCATCTGCACCCACACTTTGACCCTCATGCGACCACACAACAACCAGGAAAGGCAGAGGCTTCGTCCTGAAGGCACCTGAGCTCCCCCACGTTGCTCTCTCAATTCCCTTCCTCGAAGGAAGGCACTGAGCCAAGAGAAGGAGAGCAGTGGCAGCACATCCCTTGGGCATGCTGCCACAGCTGCCTTGAACCCAACAGCAGCAGGAGTCTGACAAATGTGTGGGGGTCATGCTCTGAGCATGACAGAGCAGCATGGAGCCCAGGAGGACATCAGAGCTCCATGGGGACAGGGACGTCTCCAGGCTGCCTGGCCTCACGGGCACCGCGGCTGCATCTCTCCAGGAGGAGGGTGATGATGGGGGCAGACAGCAGCAGGAGCAGGCTGAGGGCAGAGCGCAGGATCCAGACCTCCAGGGGCATGGCTGACCCTGGGAGAGACGAGGAACACAGTGTGGCCAAGGCAAGCCTTGGAGGACGGCTGTGCTGGGAAGGGCTGATGAGCAATGTCTCACCTCTGGAAGGGAGCTGGGCCTTGTGTGAGGGGCTGCTGCTTGTGGGAGACATGAACATGCTGTGAGTTTATGGAGCTCTTTGCTGGGACAATACCAAATGCTGAGGAGATGCTGAGCTCATGTCTTGCTTCCTTGAGCACAGGGTGATCATTAACAACTGAGCTCATGTAAATCAACAGACATAGGGTAGTAAAAGTTTGACGGAGAGCTTGCAGCAGTAGTGGCACAGGCCAGGGCCTACTGATATCCCCAACCCTTGATTTTTTTACATGGGCACTGCAGAGCCCCATGTCTCAGCAGAGCTGCTACTGCAGGTACAGGGCAAAACCTGAGAACAGTTTTACGTCCAGGGTCCAAGGAGCACTGAAAGGAGAGCACCCGAGCTGACTGGGGACTGGCCATGAGGACACGGAGCATCCCCTTCATTCCCAGGGAAGTCTGCAGTCTATCAGAGCCTTGAGGAGAGATATCACCTCATCAGCTGACAATATTGCAGACAGCTGTGGAGGAAGCTGCATCCTCTAGTCTGAGGGGAATGAAGAAAGCTTTCAAGGCCTTGGGACGGTTGGTGAAAGAGTCTGGAGCACAAGTCCCTTTCTCTTCCCTCCATCCATTCTGGGGTAGTGACATTGTATAGAATAGAAGGATCTGGTCCATAAATGCTTGGCTCCGTGACTGGTGCTACAGGCCCAACTTTGGGTTGTTTGGTAATGGCTGGTGTTATAAGACAGCAGGCCTGAGAGGAATACTTGGGAAAGGTTTATCTCACAGGGTCCAGAGGGTTTTGTGACAGCAATTAGCAGGCCTCATTTGGAGAGCTTCAAGCTACATGTATATCTGCAGGATAATGGGGTTGTAGCAGGGCTTGTACTGGTGGGACAGTGCCCCCGCAGACATGAAGACCAGGAGGCCTCCCACCCCTCATGGGGTGAAATCAGCATGCTCAGCTCCTTCCCTGAAGTGCCTGGACACAAATGCATTCAGCATGTTGAATAAGGAGGAGAAGTTGGAAAACTCTGTTTGGTCAGAAGACTGAGATCTGGTGGCAGTTACAGAGACATGGTGGGACAGCTCACATGGCTGGAATGTGGTCATGGATGGCTATGTCCTGCTCAGGAAGGCCAGCAAGGTGAGGTGGCAGAACTGCTCTTCTCATGAGAGAGAAACTCCATTGTATTGAGTACTGTCCAGGGGCAGATGAGGAGCGAGTTGAGAGTCTGTGGGTGAGAATTAAGGGGCAGGCTGGCATGGGGGATGCTGTTGTGCGTGTCTGTTACAGACCACTAGACCAGGATGAGGAAACTGACGAGGCCTTCTACAGGCATCTGAGAACAGCCTCTTGATCACAGGCCCAGGTTATCATGGAGGATTTCAACTACCCTGATATTTGCTGACAGGCCTACTCAGCCAGTCACCCACAGTCCAGGAAGTTCCTCCAGTACTGGTTCCTCCAGTGCATTGATGATAACTTCCTGATGGAAATGGTGAACGTGCCAACTAGGAGTGGAGTGCTGCTAGATCTTGTCGTCACCAACAACAGGGGTTGGTTGATTCTGAATCACAGAATCACAAATTTAAACACCAAGTTAAGTGCATGTGTCGATCTGCTCAAGGGTAGGAAGGCTCTGCAGGAGGATCTGGATAGGCTGGACCAACGGGCTGAGGTCAACTGCATGAAGTTCAATAAGGCCAAGTGCTGGGTCCTGCACCTGGGGCGAAATAACCCCAAGCAGAGCTACGGGCTGGGAAATGAGTGGTTGGAGAGCTGCCAGGCAAAGAAGGACCTGGGAGTGATGGTTGATAGTCGGCTGAATATGAGCCAGCAGTGTGCTCAGGTGGCCAAGAAGGATAAGAGCATCCTGGCTTGCATAAGAAGCAGTGTGGCCAGCAGGGGTAGGGAGGTGATCGTCCCCCTGTACTCGGCTCTGGTGAGGCCGCACCTCAAGTACTGTGTTCAGTTTTGGGCCCCTTGCTACAAGAAGGACATCGAGATGCTCGACTGCGTTCAGAGGAGGGCAACAAAGCTGGAGAAGGGTCTGGAGAACAAGTCCTACGAGGAGCGGCTGATGGAGCTGGGCTTGTTCAGCCTGGAGAAAAGGAGGCTCGGGGGCGACCTTATCACTCTCTACAGATACCTTAAAGGAGGCTGTAGTGAGGTGGGGGTTGGTCTGTTCTCCCACGTGCCTGGTGACAGGACGAGGGGGAATGGGCTTAAGTTGTGCCAGGGGAGTTTTAGGTTGGATCTTAGGAAGAACTTCTTTACCGAAAGGGTTGTTAGACACTGGAACAGGCTGCCCAGGGAAGTGGTGGAGTCACCATCCCTAGAGGTCTTTAAAAGATGTTTAGATGTAGAGCTTAGGGATATGGTTTAGTGGGGACTGTTAATGTAAGGTCAGAGGTTGGACTCGATGATCTTGAGGTCTCTTCTAACCTAGAAATTCTATAAATCTGTGATTCTGTGAAGTGGGAAGTGATAAAGTAGATGTCCAAAAGGTTGTGCTGGGAGCCCTTGGGCCCATGCGTACAGGCCCAGCTGTGCCTCTGGTGCTGCACTGTAGGCGGGGAATAAGGCCTGGCCGGGAGCCTTTGCAAGGAAAGACCAGGATAAAGCCGAGGTCATCCTCTGGACTTCTGGAGCGGGGCTGTTGAGGATTAGAAGCCCATGATCCTCCAAATGAAAACAGACGAGTGATGGGCAGTCATGCCCAAGAGAGTTGAAGACCAGTGGGTGCAGATGGCTCCCACAGTGCTGTGCTGGCAGCACTATGGCCCCAGCTGAGACTCCCTGAGAGTTCTTCATAGGATGATTCACCAACATTCATCAATGGAATGAAGGAGAGATCTTCCCACAGCCTTGGAAACTGCCCCAGAGCTCTGAAGTCACTTTGACCTTGGTGCAGGATGACCCTGGCACAACTATTGGTATGGAGATTGAAGAAAAGCGGAGTGACCTGGTCAGAAGAAGGCAAAGAACATGGGGACAAAAGGCAGGAGGGCTTTGCAAGGAAGATGCTGCCCCTGAGACACAGGAAAATACAGAAAAAGAGAGTGTGCTGCGGTGTGCGAGAGGACAAAAATAACAGCGGGTCCTCAACAAAAGCAGCGGATGTAGCAGGGGCTGAGGCATGGCCGTCACTGATGAGAGACGCTCAGTGTGGGCCAGGCTCAGGCGGCCACAGCAAGCCCACAGGACAGCTCCCAGCTGCACTGCAAGCCTCTGTCCCACCATCCCCAGCTCACAGCAAAGCAGACACCTGAAGCAGACGCTGCTCCCAAAAGGAGTACCCCAAAAGATGCTGGGGCAGGCACCATGGGCAAGGCTGTCTCCTTCTGGCCCTGCCGTCCTGCTGCTGGTGCTCTGTGAGTTGGGGCATTGCTGGGTGTGGGGGCTGAGGGCTGGAGGGCTGCTGCTGGAGGCAGGACAGGCCAGTGGTGGGCACGGGGGAGGATGGGGGACAGTGTGTGTGATACAGTCGTGCTTAACTGCAGGGCAGAGTTGTTTTGGGGAAGGCAGGAGGTCACTGCCCCTCTGTGCGGGGCAGGCATGCAGAACTGCAGGACACGGTTGCGTCTGGGGAAGGATGGGTTGGGATTGCTTCCTCCAGCGACGATGCAGATCTGAGAAAGGGGCACACTTCTCCAGTACTAAAAGTTTGTCTGGAGCTTTTGTATGAGACGTTCAGGATGCAGGATTCCTTAGAGATCCTGGGCACCGATACTGGAATGTAAAGCACATCCAGACCAGGCTTGGGATGCTGCCAAGTGTGCAGATGAAGCAAATCGCAATTGGAAATGTGTGGGTGGGAAGTCCCCTGTTCAGGCAGGACTCAGAAACTGGGAAGTGGGCAGGGAGCTGGGGTTGAGCCGGGTCTCTGCCCCTCTAAGCAAAGCCCTCTCTGCCCCATGCTGCAGGTGCTGGAGTGACCACCCAGGACATCTGCAGCTCTCCAGGATTGCAGGAGCATGGAGGTGGGTCCCAAAAATGAACGTGTCCTGGGGAAGGAGATGGGAAGAGAGAAGGGGATTATTCCCTCACAATTCCCCCTGGAAACCCCAAGACAGCAGACTCCTCCAGCCTTGGCATGCAGTTTGTTTTGCCACCCGGCAGTCACTAACTCTTGCCTGGGGAATCCCTGTGCCTTCTCTCCAGGTAACGACCAGACTCCAGTCCTGTACCTCAACGCTTCCACTGCCAAGGAGGGGGAAATAATTCTCTTTCAGTGTGCCATTGATTGGCAGTTTCCTGCTACACGAGTTGTCTTCTGCAAGAATGGGCTGGAGGAGTTCAGCCTGAAAGCCCAGCAGGGCAAAGTCATCTATGCTCTGGTCCTGAACATCACCTCCAGAAGTGCTGGGACGTACAAGTGTGGGTACCAGCAGAGGAACGAGAGCAACTGGGTGAGGAACTCTGCTCTCAGTGCTCCCCAGACCTTGTCTGTGGCAGGTGAGACATGGCCCCAGGGTGGTGAGGGTAAAAGTTTTCGGAAAACTGCTGGGGCTGGAGCTGTGTGCTGCAGTAGGCAGGGCATGGCTCTGGGGTGGTTCCCCCTCGGGAGTGTTCCCTCTCCTCAGAGGCAGCCCCTACAGAGAGAAAGCTGCTCTCAAGGGCTGTCCCCATCCCTGCAGTAGCAGCTCAGCTGAGGCATGGGGCTGTGCAGTTCCCATGCAGAGAGAGCAAGAGCTGGGGATGTTGATGGACTCTGGGTTGAGCCTGGCATGTTCCAAGATCTGCCCTGTACATTGACGACCCTATGGCAGGGGAAGTGGTGTGATTGTCATGAGGCAGGCTATAGCCTGTTCATCAGCAAGAGTGTGGGATGGTTCCAGAAGGGAGAGCACAGTGGTGCTGGTTTGAGACACATAAAGGTGCCTGCTCAGCAAGAACAAAGAGGAAGAAAAAGGACTCGGGTGTGGCGGTGTGCCAGGTCTTGGCCCCACTAAGAAAAACCCCTTTTTGCCCCAAGGTGCACGTGCTGGTGAGACCACCCAGGACATCCACAGCTCCCCAGGTGAGGACAAGCATGAGGGTGTGCCACCTGCATAGGCACATCCTGCTCCCTGCCTCTCCCCATCACACACCGCTGCCCTCACACGCTCTGTCTCCTGACTCCCCACGCCCAGCTCCCGCACACCCTCTCCACAGCCATGGTGCTTGCAGTGGTGCCTCTCATCCTCATCCTCCTGGCTGCAGGCAGCTGGTTTGCCATCAGGAAAGGTGAGGGAGTGGGGGAAGGCCAGGGAAAGGCTGAGGACGTGGGGGTCCTGCTGCGGGGCTGGTGCAGTGGGAAAGGTGGTGGGGGGAATCTGGGGGTGCACGGCTGGGGGAGACGGTGCCTGGGGGTGATGTCTGTTGGCAGCCCAGCTGGGGAGGCTGCTGAGGGAGCTGGGGAGCTTCAGCCTTTGTCCCCCAGCCCCGAGACTGGAGCCAGGGCTGGGCAGCCTGTTTGTGCCAGGTGATATACGGCCCCAGGGTGGTTTGAACAGAAGGGATGGGGATACTGCAGAGGCTGGAGCTGTGTGCTGCAGCAGGTAGGGCATGGCTGTGTTGTAGAACTCCATGGGAGTGTTCCCTCTCCTCTAAGGAAGCCCCTAGAGAAAGATCTGATCCCAGAAGTGCCCCTTTCCCTCCTGCAGCACCTCTGCAGCAGAGATAGGTCTGCATCGGGCACTGAAATTGAGAACAAGGGCTGGGGTTGTCTGTGGACCCTGGGGTGTTCCACTACCACTCTAGGTTGTCCCTCTAACCTTTACAAATCTGTGTCTGGGAACATACATGGAAAGGCTTGCTCATGTTCCCTGTGTGCTCAAGGAAGCAAGACATGAGCTCAGCATCTCCTCAGCATCTGGGATTGTCCTAAAACAGAGTTCAAGGGACGCACAGCATGTTCATGTCTCCCACAGGCAGCAGCCCCTCACACAAGGCCCAGCTCCCTTCCAGAGGTGAGACATTGCTCATCAGCCCTTCCCAGCACAGCTGTCCTCCAAGGCTTGCCTTGGCCACACTGTGTTCCTCCTCTCTCCCAGGGTCAGCCATGTCCCTGGAGGTCTGGATCCTGCGCTCTGCCCTCAGCCTGCTCCTGCTGCTGTCTGCCCCCATCATCACCCTCCTCCTGGAGAGATGAAGCCACAGTGCCCGCGGGGACTGGCAGCCTGGAGACGTCCCTGTCCCCATGGATCTCTGATGTCCCCCTGAGCTCCATGCTGTCCCCAGCCTGCTCCCCCATGTTCAGAGCACGACCCCCACCGTGGCCAGGCTCCCGCTGCCATTGGGTTCAAGGCAGCTGCGGCAGCATGCCCAAGGGATGTGCTGCCACTGCTCTGCTTCCCTTGGCTCAGCGCCTGCTCTCTGCTCCCATCAAGGATTACCCCTGGATCGCAGACCCTCCCAGCTGGGTTCAACCCCAGCACCCACATGGCTGCCCTGCCTCCTCACAGAATCACATCTACATCACAGGATCCATCTCTGCATACCGGGAAAACACGAGGGGATGGAGTCACAGCTGCACCCCCAGGCAGCCATGCTCTGCAGCTCCTGCATCACTCCAGCACCTCCCTGTGCCCAAGGTGGTGCTGGCCGCAATGGGCACATCCCCAAGTGATTACAGTGCCCCCTCTCGAGGCACCTTGGTGGGTATTGGTCCTGTGGGAGGCGAGTTATAAAGGATTGGTTCAGAATGCACCAGCTGATGTTGCTGCTCTGTATTTGAGAGGGAAGCCCGTGAGCAGAGCTGGGAGAGCTCCTCTTTGACTGCTGTGTGGGGCCATGTGTCCTGCGAGGGAGCTGCTGTTCCCTTTGCCCTGCCACCCAAGAGTTCCCCTACCTACTGGCATTGCCCTGGCTGATGTGTCATGGAAAACTGCCTGAGATCCCAGGATGGCTGACGCCATGTAGAGGTCCAGGAGGTGGCCATGCCTGGCACTCTGCACCCCATGCCCACCCATCCCTGTGCTGGATCTTCTGTCTCTCAAAGCGCTATCTCCAGGAGACAGCCCTGAGCAGGGACATTGTGTATGGGGGCATCCAGCTGTGGGCCAGGTGGGGATGGGGTCTCAGCATGGCTGGCCCCCACACCCACAGACCATCCCCAGCCTTGCACTATGGGCTTTTAGCCATCCCACACCAATACCAAGAAGGAGCCAAGGTGTCCCTTCTCTGCAGCTCCCAGTGCTGACATCTGGGGCCTTGGTGTGCAGTGGGGGACTCTGCGACAAGATGGGAGCAGGCAGGACAGGAGCTGCTCAGCTGGGAGACACGAAGCTGCAAGGCTGCATGGAGGGAATATGGGATAAGAAAATGGGGTCAAAACTCAGCAAGAGCTGCTTGGAGGCTAAGCTGGAGAGGATGAGGGTTTCAGGCTCCTTCCTGCAAGCACAGTCCCTCACCTCCCATGCCCTCATTGAAACACTTGTCTCACAGCTTCCTTCAGGCCCATGCATGCATGTTTCACAGCACAAGCCTCCAGGAGACTCTTCCTCAAAGGGAATATACAGAGTTAGGTGGACGGAGCTACTCCCTCATTCCCATACAGCCTCCAACCCTCCCTGGTGAGCCAATCGCACTGTGGTGCCAGCTGCAAAATTTCTGAGGTTAACCTCTGACCAGCATCCTGAGAGTAATGAAGATGTTGAATGGAATTCGACGTAATTAGGAAGAAATTAGGAAGAACTTCTTTACCGACAGGGTTGTTAGGAATTGGAATGGGCTGCCCAGGGAGGTGGTGGAGTCACCATCCCTGGAGGTCTTTAAAAGACGTTTGGATGTAGAGCTTAGGGATATGGTTTAGTGGAGGACTTGTTAGTCTTAGGTCAGAGGTTGGACTCGATGATTTTGAGGTCTCTTCCAACCTAGAAATTCTGTGATTCTGTGATTCTGTAATTTGGATCCCTGGAGTACACTACCAGTTAGCAGCCTTCAGCTAATGTGGTGCAATTGCCAAAAGTAACTAGGAAAATAAAACTAATATTCATTATTTAAAGAAAATGTACAGCTTTGAAGAGGCTTTCAGGGTTGGGCATAGCTGCATTACCTAAGCGTTCCCTAGGCTTCCAACCTTAGATGCTATCACACTGGGGGAACCTGGTGTGCAGGTTCTAAGGGACAGTACGGAGCATAGAGTGGAGTGGAGACACCGCAGCTAGGCTCTGTGCCAGGTGGGGACTCGATTGTTCTTGTGCACACTGAGACCGATAAGCCACACTTTTTGCGACCCTGAGACAACGACCTGACAAATGCTGTACCCTGGTGTACTTTTCCTCATTGTAATATCATTATAATACCAAAACACACCTCCATCCCAAAAGCTACCTGCCTCCAATGAGCGACCACCCCTCACTCAGCATGCACTCTGAATTTCTCGAAGCCTTTTACTTTCACCAAAATGGGAGAACTTTTCTCCAATCATAACTAAGATATGCTTGACTAGAGTCACTCAAGCTCCACCTAAAAGATAGAAAATAATATAAATTGGCCTAAGAGAGAGGGGATGTTGGGGAAGATACCGCTGTCAGGGGAGATACCACCCCGAGGGAATACACCATCCTGAGGACCTCCTGACTCCTGGGATCAGTTGATGGGCTGAGCTTCTCTTCCACCCTCTGCCCCCATTGGGAGGCCTTTGGGTGAGATTTGAACACTTGGTTATTCTGTGTGTCTCTGCAGAAACTCTGAAAACTCTATAGAGTCTTTGTGCCTTTTAACACATTAATTTCCATGCTGAGCGCCTGTTTCACCTATGTCACCTGTGTATTTCGTGCATGCTAGCTTGCTTTTGCAGACAGTAACTATGGCTGGCAATCCAAAGAACCTGTGTACCTGTTGCTGTAATAAATCGCACTTGAATGCATTGTTCCTACCCATGATAGTGTGAAATGTGTTCATCTGATTCATGTCAATATGGAACAATACTAGGGCCACATGCTATGATGAAATGTGACCTTCTGTCTTTCATACCCTTGTATAACCACGAGTCTAAGAAAAACAGGGTGGTTAATGCTCTGGTTCTTGTATCTTACAAAGGAATGTTCCAGCAATTCGTGTCAATAGGTAATAAGAGAACAAAGGGGTTTCAGAATAACTGCCAGCTATGATGACTATTGCATGGGACATTATGCAAGTCATGATATCTGGCCAGGAGATTAAGGAGAAGGGGAAAGCTGAAGGATGACTCAAAGAGAAAGCTTGCAGGGGACGCTGCAAAAGTCTCTGACATCCGGCCAAGTCAGACAAAGGAGAAGGAGAACAAAAGCCTGAGAGGAAGACTACAAGCCTTCAGCACGAGAGACCCACAGAGGGACCACCAGAGACTGATATGCATGCGCCAGTAGGAGGGTTCGGATTCCGGGACCTAATTATAATAACCCTGCCTTTTCTCGAAGTAATATTGAATATGTAGGAGTCTAGGAGCATAAAAAGTTACTATTACAATAGTTCTCATTAAACACAACTAGAGTAAGGGTGGTTATACGTTTTTGGTGAATCCCTGACCATGGTAGTTCAGTGCTCTGAATCCAACCAGGCGCCTGATGGTTAATGCGGTATTGGTGAATCTGTGATTGGGATAGTTCAGTACCATGAATCCGACCGGACCCATAACGGTTAATCGGCTACACCCCTTAACACGACACCAGACCACCTGGTTCTGTGTGGGCTCCTCTCCACGGGCTGCAGCTCCATCCTGAGGCCTGCTCCTGTGGGGCCTCTCCATGGGCCACAGCCACCTGCTCCACCAGGGGCTCCACCAGAGGCTGCAGAGTGGAGATCTGCTCCATGTGGGACCCATGGGTGCAGAGGGACAGCCTGCTCCACCATGGGCCTCTCCACAGGCCACAGGGGAACTTGTGCTGCATGCCTGGAGCACCTCCTGCTGCACTGACCTTGGTGCCTGCAAGGCTGGTTCTCATTCTTCCCTCTGCCACCTGTTGATGTCCAGCAGGTTTTCTTCCCTCCTTAAATATGCTCTCACAGAGGTACAATCAACTTCAATTTTTGGCTTGTCTTGGCCTGCAGCGGGTCCCTTTTGTGTCTGACACTGGCCCTTTTCAAATAGTGGGCAGCTTCTGGGCTTCTCAACAAGGCCACCACTGCAGACCACAGCTACCAAACCCTTGCCATGTAAACCCAATACAGCTGTCGAGTGCAGGCAACGGATTGCTTTCCCTTGGAGGGACGTCCAGTACACCTGCAATGGACGGTGCCAGGGGTGCAAACACAGCCCTGCCATTTGCCATGGAGTAATGCAGATGGCTGTAGAACAAGGCGAAGCTCCTGAGTACCTGCAGTGCATAATGGCAGCCTCACATGGGGCAGCAAAGCAGAGGAAGTCTTGAGAAAGGGACGTAAATCATCTAAATTCTCCTGAAGGCTTGTTGTGCCATTGGCCAGAGTAAGGTCAAGGGAACGGCCCAGGAAATGTGAAACTTGGGTGTAAAATGGCAAGGTGGATGTTGCTATATCCCAGTGGGTGAGGTCAGTGAGGTAACAACTGTGTGCCCACCAGCTAACAAGAGAGAACTACAAGTTTTCCTACGCCTCGTGGGTTTCTGGAGAAGGTATAGTGCAGGTTGTAGTGAGCTTCTGAGCCCTCCCTATCGAGTACTGTGACAGAGCACTTTGAAGTCTCTTTGGGGTCTGTTATAGACCGCCGAACCAGGATGAAGAGACGGATGAGGAGTTCTACAGGCAGCTGACAGAAGTTGCGAAATCGTCGCTGCTTGTTCTCGTGGGGGACTTCAGCTTCCCTGACATATCCTGGAAGCACAACACAGCCCAGAGAAAGCAGTCTAGGAGGTTTCTGGAGAGCGTGGAAGATAACTTCCTGACACAGCTGGTTAGTGAGCCTACCAGGGGTGGCGCCCCGCTAGACCTTCTCTTCACAAACAGAGAAGGACTGGTGGAGGATGTGATTGTCGGGAGCTGTCTTGGGCAGAGTGACCACGAAATGCTGGAGTTCTCTATTCTTCGCGAGGCCAGGAAGGGGACCAGTAAAACCGCTGTATTGGACTTCCAGAGGGCTGACTTTGTGCTGCTCAGGACACTGGTTGGTAGAGTCCCTTGGGAGGTGGTTCTGAAGGGCAGAGGAGTCCAGGAAGGCTGGGCACTCTTCAAGAGGGAAATCTTAATGGCGCAGGAATGGTCTGTCCCCACGTGCCCAAAGACGAGCCGGTGGGGAAGAAGACAAGCCTGGCTGAACAGAGAATTGTGGCTTGAGCTTAGGAGAAAAAAGAGGGTTTATAATCTTTGGAAAAGTGGGCAGGCCACTAGGGAGGACTATAAGGATGTTGCAAGGCTGTGCAGGGACAAAATTAGGAAGGCCAAAGCTCATCTGGAGCTCAATCTGGCTACTGCCGTTAAAGATAACAAAAAATGTTTTTATAAATACATCAACACATAAAGGAGGACTAAGGAGAATCTCCAGCCTTTACTGGATGCGGGCGGAAACAGTTACAAGAGATGAGGAAAAGGTGGAGGTGCTTAATGCCTTCTTCGCCTCAGTCTTTAGCGGCAATACCGGTTGCTCTCTGGATACTCAGTACCCTGAGCTGGTGGAAGGGGATGGGGAGCAAGATGTGGCCCTCTCTATCCACAAAGAAATGGTTGGTGACATTGAATGACTAGTACAGCACTTGGATGTGCGCAAGATAATTTTTTTTGTGCTTTCTCTGTCTCTTCTCCAGACTGAATTATGCAAGTGTGCATGCTAAGCTTTTTAACCTACAATCAGCACAATACCATACTGAGGAAGCCGAAGTTTTAGGTTGGATATTAGGGGGAACTTCTTTACCAAAAGGGTTTTTAGGCATTGGAACGGGCTGCCCAGGGAAGTGGTGGAGTCACCATCCCTGGAGGTCTTTAAAAGACATTTAGATGTAGAGCTAAGGGATATGGTTTAGTGGAGGACTTGTTAGTGTTAGGTCAGAGGTTGGACTCGATGATCTTGAGGTCTCTTCCAACCTAGAGGATTCTGTGATTCTGTGAAGTCAATGGGGCCGGATGGGATCCACCCAAGGGTACTGAGAGAACTAGCGGAGGAGCTGGTCAAGCCTCTTACTATCATTTATCAACAGTCCTGGCTATCAGAGTAGGTCCCAGTTGACTGGAGGCTAGCAAACATGACGCCCATCTACAAGAAGGGCTGGAGGACAGACCCGGGAAACTACAGGCCTGTCAGTTTGACCTCAGTGCCAGGGAAACTCATGGAGCAGATTATCTTGAGTGTCATCACACGGCACTTAAAGAGCAAGCAGGTGATCAGGCCCAGTCAGCATGGGTTTATGAAAAGCAGGTCCTGCTTGACGAACCTGATCTCCTTCTATGACAAAGTGACGCGCTTGGTGGATGAGGGAAAGGCTGTGGATGTGGTCTACCTTGACTTCAGCAAGGCTTTTGACACTATTCCCCGGAACATTCTCCTCAAGAAACTGGCTGCTCATGGTTTGGACTGGCGTACGTTTCCTTGGGTTAGAAACTGGCTGGGTAGTCGGGCCCGAAGAGCTGTGGTAAATGGAGTCAAATCCAGTTGGAGGCCGGTCACTAGTGGCGTCCCCCAGGGCTCAGTACTGGGGCCAGTCCTCTTTAATATCTTTATCGATAATCTGGATGAGGGGATTGAGTGCACCCTCAGTAAGTTTGCAGATGACACAAAGTTATCTGCTCGAGGGTAGGCAGATCTCTCCAGATCCTGCAGGAGGATCTGGATAGGCTGGACCAACAGGCTGAGGCCAAGTGTATGAAGTTCAACAAGGCCAAGTGCCGGGTCCTGCAC